CCACCACCCGCTGCGCATGCTCGGAATAAAAAGGACGCCCGCCATCATTGACGTGTGGGCCCTTGGTTTGTGGTTGTCATTAATAAAGATGCAGGAGGTAGCTAACCGGTCGCCATATGGGGACGCGGCAGACAACGAGCGGACGCGCGGCACGTCCGTGCCGACGCATTTCAAGCCCAAATGGAAATGGGTCCGCGCAGACGCGAAGCGGAAGCGTTTTGAGAGTGGGTCGACGCGTTGGGCCAACAGTTTTGTCCGCAACGACTTAAACGGACGTGGGCGGATAAAATGGATCGCCCCGTTGGAGTTGCTTTAAATACATAAGATCGCGATAATAGATAGAGAAATTAAACAGCCGACTACATATATGTTCAGTTCAGAAATAAGATTGCAGGTACATACCACTATACTTGCATGTTACAGCACATAAAAGATTTTACTTAGTACTACTGTACCAGAGAAAAAGACAAAATCGTACGTGGTCGTTATTCACACATTCGGACTCGAGAGCTTTTGAATATTGGGTGCAACCGGTGGGACGGTAGCACGGGTTATCTACAACCGGTTTGGATAACGATTCAATAATAGGATAGATATTTAGTCATCTTTGACATATTTTTCGCGGTTGTGGTAGTTCTCTTTTTACTGATTTGTTTCATGCTCCTTTTGTGAGCTTTTTGAAACTTGAGACTTTGTTTTATGTGCATGTCAAAGGAGTGCATGCTGGGCAGGACCCGTTCACACCGAGACGTACCACGAGGTCTGTTAGCACTGCAGCACCGAGGAAATCCAAGGCATCGGTGGCAGAAGCTGTTTTGCTCAAGACACTGGGCCTCACGGAGGAATATTTATCATTCCCAGATAGTGCATTAAGGCTTCTCAAGGAGGTGTTCGACTCGCCGATCCACGATAGGCAGCTCAGAGCTATCGCGGCGGTCTTCGGGAATTCTATCCCCATGGATTGGGACGCCCTAGACGGAGACACTTTGCCGGGCATGGTATAAGTGTGTGAGCCATGCAGGAGTGCTAGTTTTTCCGATGTCTAGCACTAAGGTGGAGTTGGTGTGTTGGAATGTGAGGGGCCTTAATAGCCCGGCAAAAAAAAGGCGCTTAGGGAATTTGTAGATTCGGTGCAGGTCACTATTATTTGTATCCAGGAGACTAAATTGGCAGTTGTGGACCGCTATATTATCATGCAATGTTTAGGGCCGGTTTATGACGGCTTTGCTTACCTCCTGGCTTGTGTGACACGTGGTGGGATCCTGGTGGCTTGGAAATCGAATCTGATCCAGGTTTCGAACTGGGTCAATGATTCAAACTTTATCTCGGGATATGTGGTGCCTCTGGAAGGTGCTCCCTGGTGGCTATCGGTGGTGTACGGCCCCCAGGAGGATGCTGACAAAATCGCCTTCCTGGAGGAACTGGAGGAACGTCGAGCTCTGTGCCCGGGTCCCTGGATGATCATTGGAGATTTCAATCTCATTGTACATGCATCAGACAAGAGCAACTCAAACATTGATAGGAGGATGATGGGGAGGTTTAGGCGCTTCATTGACAATATGGAGTTGAAGGAGCTCTTCCTCCATGGTCGTAAATACACTTGGAGCAACGAGAGAGAGCAGGCTACCCTCACCAAGATTGACCGTGCGCTGGTATCGATTGATTGGGAGTTGGAATATCCGAACTGCATGTTGCAAGCGTTGTCCACGGACATGTCAGATCATTGTCCGTTGCATCTCACCTTGGATGAGTATATTCTCACTACGAGGAGGTTTAGGTTTGAGACCTTTTGGACCAAGATTGAGGGGTTTGAGGATGCAGTTAGGGAGGCCTGGAGATGTGATCCCAGCATTACGGATCCTTTCAAGCGATTGGATGAGCTCTTTAGGAATATTGCCAAGTTCCTCGTGTCTTGGGGACAGAGGAAGATTAGGAATGTCAAGATTCATATGGCAATTGCGAGGCTGGTCATCAAGCTCTTTGACAGCGCTATGGAGGAGAGGAGTTTGTCAGTGGGAGAGAGATGGCTTCGTGGTACCCTCAAGAAGACGCCGTTGGGATTGGCCTCTCTGGAGCGGACGATACAGAGGCAACACTCCCGCATAAAATGGCTCAAAGAGGGCGATGCTAACTCCCATTTTTTCCAACTCTTTGTGAATGGGAGAAAGTCCAAAAATTATATTCCGGCGATTTCCTATAGAGGCCAGATCATTACCGACCAGAAGGGGAAAGAAGAGGCGTTCCATCAGGCCTATGAGGATTTATTGGGCAGAGCCCGAGCGAGAGATGTTACCCTGGATCTTCAGTTTCTGAACATGGAACCTCTCAACCTCTCGGACCAAGATGCTCTATTTTCACAAGAGGAAATCTGGGATGTCATCAAAGCTATGCCAGGGGATAGGGCGCCAGGGCCGGATGGATACATTGGGTTGTTTTTTCACAAAGCCTGGGCAATCATTAAGAGAGATGTCGTGGCTGCTATTCACAACTTTCTGCTAGGCAACGGGAGAGGGTTTGGCAGACTGAATAAGGCATTGATCATGCTAATTCCAAAAAAGCTGGATGCTTCGGAGATTGGTGACTTCAGGCCCATTAGTCTGTTGCATAGTATACCCAAGATCAGTGCTAAATTGCTGGCGGGCAAGTTGAGTGGACGTATGGGAGAGCTGGTGCACATGAACCAATCGGCGTTCATTAAAGGCTGGAGCATACATGATAATTTCATGTTAGTGCGCCAAGTGGCGAGGAACTTGCACAAGAGGAAAGCAAAAGGTGTCCTGGTGATGATGGATATTTTGAGAGCCTTTGACTCTTTGTCTTGGCCTTTCCTCTTTGAGGTGCTCCGTGCGAAGGGCTTTTCGGCGTGTTGGAGAGAGCTCATTGCCACGCTGCTCTCCACGGCGAGCTCAAGGGTGATCTTCAATGGCAGTGTGGGGGAGAAAATCATTCACGCTTGTGGGCTAAGGCAAGGGGACCCAATTTCGCCTCTTCTATTTGTTATTGCGATGGATGCTCTCTCGGCCCTTATCATCTGTGCTCAACAGATGGGAGTTCTTAGCCCAATGCCCGGATGCACTCCTCTGCAGCGGCTATCTATCTACACGGATGATGTGGTCTTATTCATCAGACCGACTGCCTTGGACCTTGAGTTTGTAAAGGAGGTGATGCACATCTTTGAGGAGGCGTCGGGGCTGAAAATCAACTACCAAAAAACTTCGGCGATCCTTATTAGACCTGGAGAGGGAGACACGGAGACAGTCGCAGCTGCTCTCCCTTGGAAGATTCAGGGTTTTCCGTGCAAATATCTAGGGCTCCAGCTTTCGATTAAGCAACTCACCTGTAACCAATGGCAGCCGCTGGTGGATGTGGTGCTGAACTTCCTACCAGGGTGGATGCGAGGTATGATAACCAGGCCGGGCAGACTGATTCTGGTCAACAGTGTGGTTAGGGCGAGGCCTATTCACCATCTGATTGCGGCGGATGCTCCGAAGTGGGCGCTAGATAGCATTGACAGAGGGTGTAAAGCCTTTTTCTGGGCTAGTTCAGAAGAGATACATGGGGGCAAGTGTCTGGTTGCTTGGAAGCGTGTCTATCGGCCGAAGGAGCTGGGGGGATTGGGCGTCATCGATCTTCGTACGCAAGGCATCGCTCTCCGCCTTAGATGGGAATGGCTCAGGCGAACGGATACCTCAAAGCCGTGGCACGGTCTGGCCATGTCCGCTGACAAAGAGATGCAGGCTGCGTTTGCCAGTTTGGTTCACTGGAAAGTTGGAGATGGGAACCGAGTGCTGTTTTGGAAGGATAGATGGGTCAATGGAATGTGAATTGCTGAGATTGCTCCGCTGGTGACTGGGAAGGTTAGAACCCAGACGGTGAACAGAAGATCGGTGAGGGAGGGCCTCTTCTTAGGCAATTGGATCAACGATATCAAGGGTGAGTTATCCACAGATGGACTGATGCAGTTTATTCACCTATGGGAGACCCTTAGCGAGCTGAACTTGGATCCTAACATGGGTGATCAGGCCATATGGAAGTGGAATGCCGCGGGCCAGTACTCGGCAGCCTCGGCGTACCGGATCATGAACGAGGGAGCTATTAAACTTGGATGCGCTAAGGGGCTGTGGAAGTGTTGGGCCCCACTGGCATGTAGATTGTTCATGTGGCTGGCCCTGCAGCACAGACTTTGGACTTCTGACAGACGATTTCGACATGGGTTGCAAGATGCCACGTCGGTCTGCTTTCTGTGTGATCAGGAGGAGGATTCGGTTGATCATATTATGCTACAGTGCGTCTACTCGAGGCAGATGTGGGTCCAATGCTTAAGGTGGGCCAATATAGACCTGCAGCTTGTGCCTTTGACCTCGGAGCGGTTGCAAGACTGGTGGCCCAGATCCCGGAAGAGCATGCCAAAGGGAGTTCGAAATGGGTTTGACTCTTTGGTCATGTTGATTTGTTGGAGTATTTGGAAGCAACGTAATGGGCGAGTATTTGGAGGAAGAGACACAATCAATGAATGGGAGCTATCGACAAGGATTTATCACGAGTTGCGACTTTGGTTAGCAGCAGGAGCTCAGAGTGTACATCAGTTGTGTGAGTAGTCGGGTAGTGTGGGTGTAGGGGTATTGTTGGTTTCCGTCGGAGTGTGGCGCGAGCCTGAAAACTCTTCTTGTAAATATTTCCTTCTTCTTGAAAACTCTTCATGTAAATATTTCCTTCTTCTATAAAGCTTAGGTATGCTCTTGGCGTACCCCTCAAAAAAAAAAGACTTTGTTTTGAAACTTAAGATCAATAAAATGACTTCGTGCATCATTTTGATGTAGAGGCAGGAGGAAATCCTCCTTTTCGAAAAAAAGGTACATACCACTACCTTGCAGGTTACAACACGTAAAAGATTTTACTTATAGTACTACTGAGAAGAAGACGAAGTCGCGTGTCCTGTTGTGCATGAGTGCTTCAGCCACATGTGATTAAAATTGACTCCATCCTGACCTCTTACAATACTAGGCAGTTTGTCTGAAGTTGATACACCCGTTTAACCAAATTTTAGGGGAAATTGCTGCTGTCTTTGCTTTGTGATCAGGAATTATCATGTGTTCATTTATTGTGGTGAATTCGATTGTGGGTTTGCTAGACAAGTTACCTGCTTGTTCTCGTATCGCATCCTTCACAGTATTTACCTCCGAAGCTACAACAGATTTGCAGCTAATCATGGCATGGACTCGTGTGAGGGAAGAGAGATGCTCGATGCCAAAACTCAAATTTCCATAGATACACAGTGCTTCCCGTGCGCTGAAGTCGAGCGTCAGCCTCTGTAGCTCCTTCATGGCTCCTGGTGTGAACTCCAGCTCCGTCCCACCAGATCGGCATATGAGCGACAATACTTTCACACACTTAAAGCCATGGTCCACGCCGACTTTGCACCTGCCTTCTGGGTTCCATTTGAGTTGTGAGCTGAATCTTATGCCACCTGAAGAAACTAACTTGAGAAGGACTAGATGAGGCAAACCTCCCAGGGCACGGACAGCTTCATCTTCTAATCGAACAATTTCAATATCCAAGTGGGTAACGCTGACAAGAGAGGCCATCCTGTGTGCAGTCCGTCCGAGGACTGGAACCGAGATTTTCAGCTCAAATCTTCGGAGCTGATCAGATGGAGGGAACTCCAGCGGTATGTCAAGCAAACCGAAATTGAGGCAATCAAGTGATAGGCAAGTAAGCTTATTAGACCTTGTAACCTCCATGAGGAAAGTCCTGACACTCTCGTTATCATTAGATAAGTGTGACCCATCCAATCTTATGCCGAGGACCCTCAGCCGCTCCGACTTCCTCAAGAGCTCTGCCACTGAATCGATTGTCCTGCTACTGTAGACACCAACAGTTGATACTTCTTCTAATCCTTGCATTTTCAGGATTTCGCTAGGCAGTTTGACGGTGCCGTCAATTAGCAGATGTGCCAACATTTTCTGTTTAGCTATAGAAGTAGGCAAAGTGCTCAGCATTTTTGTCTTCCTCAAATTCAGGGTCTCCAGCTGCCCTAGTTCTCCGATTTCCTCTGGTAAAGAATCGATTGCAGTCTCTGCAGCCCCCAGGTATCTCAGCAGAACCAATCCCCCGATGCCGTGAACTAGGACAAAATTCATTCATAGTATGTTTCGACATTTTGTTTCAGTTGCAGACCAACATTAGTCTTTACAATCCTGAAAAGAAAAGGCCCGCGCAACATATTCTTAGAAATAGTGAAGCACAATGTGCAGAGTCATTCCTGTGGAGCTGCCTTCTAAAAATGCATTATTAGAATCTGCCTTTATTCCATGAAGAAGCATCATTATTTCAAACAACTAGGCTAACGAATATTCATGGTGTTCCTGAAAGTAGAGGAAGGGGTTAATAGTTTTAAGTACATGACAAATCTGAAAGTTGCATATGAGGAACTCATGCTGACCTTCCAAATTGTGCTGAATGCAATGAGAGCTTTGCATTCTGACCTTCCAAATTGTGCTGAATGCTGACCTGACTTGCTGCTATCCTGAGGAGAAAAGATAAGTGGCAAGAACAATGAACTCCGTGCTAACAGTTAGGATTTGGAGCATAATTACAGCGAGATTAGCAAGGATACCATTAAAGAAGATTGGATAAATCAAAAAACAAATCAAGCACATCCCCTGTAGAACACTTACAAGCACTAGATTTAGAGAAAAGGGAGAAAGAAAATGACGTCTAATATATCCTCTCGAGGGGACATTGTTCCAGTGCACGCAAATAACCCCGAGAGGACGAAACACTGTTGTAATGAGCGTAAATAATGTTTCACCGGTGAGAAGCATGAACTGAAAAATGTTGGGATTACAGGGAAAACAAAAGCATTTCGTTGATGACCTTTCAGGCTTCACGTCGATAGCAAGGCATTGCCCAGCTCCTTTGATTGTCGCAGACAGCAGAGAGGCCCTTGTACGAAACCCACATACCCAGCAACCCGCCAATTCATGAAGGAACCAACAAATAATTTTTACACATGTGTTTCAGTGTAGCTATATGTATTAGGAAAGAACATTCTGAAATTTGGATGTGGACTACTATGTACGGTTTCTGGGCATGTCAAGTATAGTCTAGCCCGTGTTGGGTAGAATTGTAAGTTAGGGATTATACATTTATTGTCTCATAGGTCGCAGACTCACAGGTTTGGCATTTTCATACTGCTACAAGTTCTACTATTTTCGTACACCATTATATATGTACTAGAATGAAAGTAATACACGACCTCTGTTATGAACATACGTGCACATCCGTGTCAAATATTGATGAGTATCTAATATTGATGATATACATGGTGCCCATAAACTGTAGTACATGCTTGCTGACGAGTATTGAGTGCAAACAGAGCATCTCATTATCTCATACAGTCACATAAACATGTAGCTAGCCAAATATCCGTACAGATATGTGAAACTATAGCCAATAAATAATGTACCTATATAACTATATTATGATGATTGTTTGGGACCTTTTCCTTTCCTGAATATGCAGGTTATAGAAACTCATTTTCTGATATCGTAAAGCTCATCTTCAGGTTCATTACAGGTGCCAACTGGTTGCAATAATCTCCATTGTGGACAGTGCTTTGGAAATGGTGATAGATTTCTCTAGGGCTATAAACTGGATGCACTGCAATTTGAACTGTTCGAGCTTTGTTACAGTCAATGTTGATGCGGCCTAATTTTATCAAATATAGAGATAGATTTCAGAGCATGAATATGCTTATATTTCTAGAAGGAAAATTGCACCTATTATAAATATCAAGGTGCTTCATGCTATGTAGTAGTATGAGATAAATCCCTGATTTTGAAAACCCTTGATGTACGATCACGAGATGTCAAGATGTGTGGTGCTCTGGCAGGAATTAGTTCAAATATCATATTATCTTATCTTTTTATGAAGATATCTAAACATGAAAGAACTTAGGACTTCTATGAAATTGTAATATGTTAACATCGTCTCATATATTTCATGAAGGGTGCGGCAGTTCATCATCGTGATGGAAGGGTGTGGCTGCCGATGACAATTCCTCGCTTACTACCGCACAACGTGCAAATCAACTAAAACTATCCATAATCTATTTCAAAAATAGACGGGCGCGGCAACGCGCGCCATCATGATCTAGTGTAAATGAAGGTAAAGACAGCGTTCCTCACTTGTACGAAAATATCTTAACACATCAAATAGATCTTAGTTTGCAAAAGTTAATTAGCTGGATCATTGCTCTCTATGTACACATTGTTCTATTTGATTTCAATTACTTCTCAATTATATACTTCTCAACTAACTTGAGTGGGCCTATCTTACTTACTGATTTTTTGTTTTTTGAGTGGGCCTAGTTACTAGCTGCAGGCTTGCCGCACTACCAGCCCATCATTAGATAAAGTCTTGCAGGCTTGCAGCACCGATAGATAATACGGCGAGCAACTAAGCGCTCCTTCGGAAGCCTCGTAACGATCAGCGCCACTTGGCGCGCTCTCAGCCATTGCCACGTGTCGCGCTCTGGGTGCTCCCTCCGGATTTTATTTTTTTATTTTTTTGCACACGTTTTCGGCTTTTAAACAGTTTTTTTTTCTGTTTTTTTTGACGTTTTGGTTTTCCACCGGTCTTCCCTAGCTTTTCGACAAAAAAAATCGAAATTATTTTTTGCGCAAAAAACACATTTTTTTGCGCAAAAAACACATTTTTTTTGTGAGAGGCATGGTTTTGTTTTCGCGAGAGGTATGGTTGTGCTTTCGCGAGAGGCCGTGCCTCTTGAAAATGAAAAAATAACGCGTTTTTTTTTCTTTCGCGAGAGGCACGATTTTGCTTCCGCGAGAGGCACGGTTGTGCTTTCACGAGAGTCACGGCCTTGCCTCTTGGAAACGAAAAAAACACGTTTTCTATTTTTTTTTTCTTTTCGCAAGAGGCACGGTTTTACTTCCGCGAGAGGCACGATTGTGCTTCCGCGAGAGTCACGGCCGTGCCTCCTCAGAAACAAAAAAAAATGCGTTTTCTGTTTTTTTTCGCAAGAGGCACGGTTTTGCTTCCGCGAGAGGCACGGTTGTGATTTCGTCATAGGGACGGACGTGCCTCTTTCGAAAAGAGAAAAAACCCGTGCTCCTGGTTCGGTTTTTTCGTCCGGTTTTTTTCGCGAAAAAAAGTTCGTCAAAACCTATCAACATGGGATCTAGTTTTGAAGATCTCGACGCGAGGAATCCAACGGCAAAAGCGGTTCGAGATTTGGACGCACGGTTTAAGAGATAAAACGTTTTGAATAAACGGATCTACGAAAAAAGAAAAACTTCCGGGTTGCGACAAGTGGCGCACATGCAACACGCCACTTGTCGCAACCTGGAGAAGTTGGAATAATCTTCACAAGGAGTACTCCTTAACTAGTGATTTCGGATAATATGCCCCCTCCCTTCTCGCCCGTGGCCAGTTTGATCCGTCCGCCTCCTCTAGTCTCCATGAGACCATGACGACCTAGGTCTCTCTCTTGTTAGAGCATCTCCTGCCATTGGCCCCCCAGGGGGCGCCTAAAATCGCCGCCTGGGGGTGAGCCGGTGAAAAAAAAGGCCCGAGGGTGAGTTGGTCCGCAGTCGCCGGCCCCATGGCCACCCCCAGATGCGCATAATTTTTTCAAAAAAAAATGTTTGGCAAAGTTCGGTTAAACACAGCTAAATTTCGGCAAACCTTGGCATATATTGACATGTTCGGCGATACATAGCAAAATATAACTAAAAAAATAAATCGCTGAGCGCCGAGTAGTCGGGGTCGTCGCCGCCATCCTCGCCGCCGTCGTCGGCGGCCTTCTCCTCCTTGATGCGGTCGTCCCTGGTGGACCCCTGACCGGCGTCACCAACGCGGACTGGTGGCGGCGGCGCGTCGTCGTCGTCGCTGTCCTCGATGACGACGACTCCTCCTTCGTCGCGGCCCCGGCGGCGCACTGGCGCTCCCTCGCCATCTTCGGGGAGTCCTTGCGCGCCCATTCCAAGGCCGCGTCGTCGTCGAGCTCCACGTCGTCGTGCTCCGTCTTCACGGCGGGGAGGCCCGGCTCCGTCTTCACCGGTGCTAGCCCCGACCCCGTCTTTGGCTTGACGAAGCGCGGAGGAGCCGACGAGGAGGCGCACCGGCCGCCCTCGTTGATGACGATGCCGACGCTGCGAGTGCGCTGGCCGAGCGGCGTCTCCGCCGCGGGCTCGGCCTTGACGCCGAGCAGCGCCGGAGAGCCGGAGAAGTGCGAAGAAGCCCGTGAGGAGGAGTGCGAGGAGAACGACGAGGAGGAGTCGAACCTCCTGGGCATCCATTGCCCGACGCGTCGGCGATGGGCCGGGGCGGCCGTCCTCGCCGGGGGAGGGTATGACAGCGGTGGGTTGTTGCCGCCCTCAAGGTGCGTCAGCACGCCCTCGAGCGTGCGGCCGGGGACGCCCCACCACAGGTGGCGCCCCTCGCTGTTCTTCGTGCCACCCACCACCTGCGCCCCGTAGGTGGACTTCAGCCTCTGCTGTTGACGACGCTCGAAGTACGCCGCCCACGCCGCGTGGTTGTCGGCGGCGTACTGGGGGAGGGCGTGCTGCTCGTCGTTGAGGGAGGCACCCACGATCTCAACCTCGTCAGCGAAGTAGCCAGGGCGCGCCACGACGTCGGGCAACGGGGGAATGGCACTCCCCCGTTGCTGAGCCTCCATCCCGTCGGCCCGGCGCGCATGTCCGGTGGCGCCGGGATGTTGGCCTCGAACAGGAGCCATGACTCATGTTCGCGCAGCGAGCGGCGGCCGAAACCGTTGGCCGTTGCCTCATTGCCGGGGAAACGCTTGACCATCGGGGCAGGGGGGGAGGGAGAGGGAGGGCTCGGAGGCGGCGCACGGGAGAGGGAGAGGGAGGGCTCGGCGGCGGCGCACAAGAGGGAGAGCTCGGCGGCTAGGGCTTGGTGTGGCTGGAGGGAGGCCACCGGCTTATATAGCCGCGCCCGTGTGTACACCGCGCCTGTGTGTACACCGCCCGCGGGAGGGGAGGCGTCGGCGCGCCGCCCCGTGACGCGCTGCCCGTGAGGAATCAATGGCAAGGCTGACCGTCGGCGGCAGCCTTGGCATTGATTCCCGCGGGAACCGAGGCGATGAGGGCGA